ACCATCGAACGCAGCAAACTGGCGAGAACCACACTTAACTCGATTTTCTCTTTGAAAAGAATGCAGAAAACGTATTTTGGATTTTAAAAGAGTTTTGGTACCGGGAAAATGTATGTAAGAAACAAGAGGGGTTAGGCGCTATTTATACAGAATGAAGGGGTGCGTACGAAGGGAGACGACTCTTCATATGGGTGGTTACGCCCCAACCAACACATTGATTCATTTTAAAATAATGAACTATTGCATCGGTTCGACCCATGGTAGTTGGACCGGTTTGGTTATTCCAACCGCCACATCGATTTGGTTCAATTTGGTTCAATTTGGTTTGGTTCGGTTGGTTACACAAACCAATATTACCGATTACCAACATATTACATCAAATTGACCGAATCCACAGCCACGCCTTCCCGCAGCTTACCAACATGGTACTTCAAGAGATTCTCTTGGATCTTTCCCCTTTCATGTCCATTCACACCACTAAAAATCCCAACAATCCCCCACATGAATGGGGAATGTTGTATTTTAAAAACTATGCAAAAAACTCGTGTGATTCTCGACTAAGAATTAGTTGCATCGGGATAGGTAGGTTTCCCTTTGAACCTTCTTTAGTGAACATATATCAAGTATACTCACCAATCGATAGATGTAATATCTTTGAACCGTCTGTTTTGCTTGTATACTAAGACAACATATGTCACACAACTAACTCTTATCCGTTCACTGGTTCTCATTGTTGTGTTTGTTTTAGCCATGAACACCGTCTAGTCTCATGAGTGCTTAGAGAACTTACATTCTTTTATTCTCTTTGAAGCGGGTCCACTTCACACTCACATAGGTGATTTCTAAACGTGTATTCCGAAAATACACTATTTGATTACACCACGTGTCAAACATAGAAACCATTAAAAACCTTTCATATTTAGTTTTACCCTTATTTTGGACATTGTCTCATCATGAGAATGGACTTTGAATAAGTTGACAATGTCGGACCATCATTCACAACTTTGTTTGCTCCTTGAACCTAGAGGTTGGGTCTGCCAATCCTACTTAGGTAGAGTTACAGCCATGATGATTTATCCTAGGCCACGAGTCCATTCCCATCGATGCTTCAATTAATTTCTAGATGGGGCCCACGTTTGTTATCACTTGATCTAAACTGATCAACTCTTATAACTTTGCTAGAAATTAACCAATCAATAATGTTATGTTTCTATGATGAGATTTTCACATATAACACTTCTAGCCCTTGCAATAACCATTTTGTGCACAAGTGCGTTTTATTAACGCTCGTCTTTGCTGGCCATACTATCGAACTTCATCGGTTTTGGAGTGAGTATATATATAGTTTAACTTGGACGTTTCCCAAGATACTGCTCCCCATCAACAATAAATGCATATCCATTAATATATTGCCTTTTGGTTCATCCGGTGAGTTCCCTTTGGGTAGGATACACCAAAGACTCGTCTCTTCTATTCACTACACATAATGTGTGCTTAACTTGAATTGTTGCCTTGCAATAATTATAACATATGCTAACGGTGTTGATGTCTCTCTACTTCATTAACCTTAGAGTACTTGAGCTTCACAAGTATCTTTACAAATGTAGTGACATTTATGACTTAGCTTAGCGTTTACGTAAAAATCCTAAGTAGTCACATCACTTCACTTTGAAATCACCCAAACGACATTCCACATCACTTCTCCACAATTTATCCCTCCATATTTCAACTATTTCACCATAGTTGTTGAAACCAAAGTTTCCGGTATGGGGAATGTTGTTCGTATACCTTCATGTATATGATCAAAATCATTTTCTCTTTGGGAAGAGTGTACTAACATATCTAAGAAATCTTACTTAGATTTCTTAAACTAGCTCTCTAACATAAATGTCAACATATGCTAGATTTTACTCATAAGTTAATCCTTGGACTCGGTTAACTTCCCAAGGTTTATGGAGTTGCTCTTTCTCACTGGACACCGTCATACTTTCAAGTATGACTTGTTTTACCTTCCCACTTTTGCCTTATGGATAGGTTTGCGTCCCATTGTAGGGTCTTGAGATAGTACCCGTAACAACGACTAGCTCTTCTCCCCCACAATTCTACCCTTTGTCAAACATCATGGAATAATCCCATTTATTTTCCATGGTTTACTTATTGAACTTGCACACTAAGTTCTTTAACAAAATTAAAAAAAGTAATTATGAAATATAAAATCAACACAATGTGAATATTAATAATGAATAATGAATAATTGAGATCATGGACAATATTAATATAATATAAAAATTAAAATTTTGATTAATTTAATAATTAATAAAGTAATCAATTAAATATAAATAAAGTAAAACAATGTATTTGATAATTTGATACTTTTAAAAGAATAGAAAAAATTTGGTGTATTCAACTTTTTGGGAAGAGAAAGAAGAGGGAAATAATATTGTTTAATTTTTTAGAAAAGGAAAAGGGGAAATTTTTGTGGTTTTTATTTGTGAGAAGTGAAAAAGTAGGAAAACTTGGTTCTTTTGATTATGAAAGAGAAATAGGGAGGAAAATTTTGAGTTTTCAACTTTTTGTGAAAAGAAGGATGGAAGAGGTAAATTTGGTTCTTCAAATGGAAGAGAAAGAGGAGGGAAATTTCAAATTTGGTTCTTTCAATTTTATGGAAGAGAAAGATGAGGAAAAATTGAGTGTTTCTAATTTATGAAGGACAAAGAAGGAGGAGAATTTTAGTATTTTAATTTTTCTTGTGAAAAAGAAAGAAGAAATTTTTTTTGGTGTTTACTGCAATCATTTATTTTAGAAAAATCCACTTAATTTGTCTACTTGTTTTCTATGCTTCTACATTTATTGCAATTTCAACACTACATGATCGTTATTTTACAACACTTAGTAAAATTTTCGCCCATGTAGAGTTGTGTTCAAGTAGACCTTTCATTTCATAATGGGTGTTAAACTAGGCCTGTTAAGTCTTACGATTGCAATAACTTAGTCGAGTTGCGGGTTTGAAATTTTTGGTTTATCGGGTTGCGGGTCACTTTGGAATGGAAAATGAGAGGGAGGTTTGGATGAGAACTTTGGAATGGAAAATTTATAGGCGGGTGAATATGAGCCAACAATTATACTAAACTTGATAAGTTTGTTGTAAAAAAAACTTGATAAATAATTTTTGACGATTCGTTATTTAGGGTATAAAGTATATGGTTAGGGTATATGGTATAAGGTACATATTATTTAGGGTGTATATGGTTAGGGTATAAGGTATTGATGGTTTTGACGGTTTTAAGTTTTTTATTAACATATGTTCACTTGAAGTCATTTAAAATATTTAACGGCTGAAGATCCCTTTTTAATTTATATTTATGGTACGTAGTTAGGGTATAGGGTATATGGTGTAGAGTATTAGATATATGGTTAGGATATAGAAAATATCACTTTTTATCTATGTTTCGCAAAATCAAAGTATGAATTTCACTTTAAATTAACTATATTAGCAAAATCACAACTCATAGGGATATATGGTTAGAGTATAGGGTATATTGTTAATGTATAATATATTGATGGTTTAGGGTATACGATCAACAATATATATTAACTTAATATTGTTGATTGAGAGTAAGACTAAGTGTATAGGATATATGTTATTTAGTAAGTTACGATTGAAGTCGCAACAATTTTACTAAATTTGATAGTTAATCTTTAATGGTTCAATTTTTAGGGCAATTCGAACAATTTTACAAATAAATCGTTTGACAACAGTTTGCTGAAGTTATTAGAGGCAATGAGTTATTTCGAAATAACTCATTTTACCACTATGCTTTTGCCAATTACCACCGGCAAATACTAGATTTGCATGGTTATTCTAAACGAGATACTATAATCCAATTACTACTGAAATAATATTACGATACCAAATAAATAATTAATGGTGTCTTTTGGTTGCAAATGTTGATATAACAATTACTATTAGGTAGTGTACTTTACCAATTATGATTAATTACATAACAAGTTTGCAAGTAATATAAATTGATTCAACATTTTGACTAGTTTTTTAAAAATCTCGTATATATACGAGGTAGAAAGAAATTGATTAAAAATTGAGAAAAATATTTTAAAATAGTGTAATAAAATGTGTAAGTTGGTAACGAGTAAGGAGTAAGTTACTCGATGCGTTGAGTCGAACAACCCAAAACCTGATCCGCTCGCAACCCGCCCGACCCAAAAACCGATGAACTCGTAACCCGATTTGTCCGCAACCCGATTGAACCCGAACCCGATGAACCCGCAACCCGACTAACCCGCAACCCGTTTGAACCCGAACCCGATAAACCCGCAACCCGTTTGAACCCGAACCCGATTGAACTCAGCCCGAACGGAGAGTGACCAAACTTGAACTGTGAAACTAATTTGAGTAACTACGAATAGAATAAACTAATTTTAGTGGCAAACATAAAGTTTTTAAGTAATTCCAGTGACCAAACTTACAATTTACCCTGTATGCATCTACCATTTATTATTAATCAAGTGAATTGAAGTTAATAACTGAATTAATTTGGCATTCGTTCAGATAACCATATCAAGTGACCGGGACTACCGATTACTCTAGATGGTTCTATCGGAATTGAGAAAGGTTCCAACGACGAAGATAGAGTGAACACTAACCACTAAGTGAGTACTTATTAGAACTCGAAAAATGAAAAATGACACGAAACAAAAGAAAAAGACACGAATAGTAAAGCCAACTTCCTCCAGTCAAGTCCCCATCAAATGACCGGTTGAAAATCACCCCAAAACAGCAACAAAATTACTACTGCGTACTTGTTCTTGCACGCAACCCATTTGCAAAGTGGTGACTGTGACATGCACTACTACAGCACTCAACCAGCTCAGTCCTCAAGAATGTGAATATATAATAACCTCATATATATAAAACAGTAAACCGCAACCACAACCTAATGAAGAGAAGACTTAACGTATGATCGGCGTACATAGAATCCAAAATGAATATTTCCTACATTCCCTCGGCAGCAACATATGCCTTGTTCGTAGTGGTGTTGGTGGGAGGCTGCTGGGGGAATATTGCTGAGGAGGAAACCTATCGATTCAATGGCCATGACATTACTGCATACTGGGGGTCTGATCACTTCAACATATCGAACCAAGGAACTGAAGTTGAGCTTTCCATGGATCGTTATTCTGGTCCATTCTGATCCTCCCCCTTTCCTAAACTCTTTTATTGTTTCATCAAGTTGAGTCCCAAATTGATCTCTATGATGAAATTCTAATATTCTGAGTTTCTGTTATATATATATATATATACTGCATGCAGGTGCTGGATTCACAACCAAACGGAGCTATGGGTCTGGTTTTTTCCAAATGCGGATCAAGGCTCCCCGGAGAAACTCCGCCGGAGTTGTCACTGCATTCTATGTACGTTCTGTGAATTTCAGTTGGAAGAACGATATTTTTCAAAGATTTGAGAAATCGGAGGTTATACTGAATTAGTAGTGTATGGTAGGGTATTTTGTGATATGATTGTGGTTCAACCATTTTATATCGATAAAAGACAATTTTGAATAAAATATATTTTTACAAACAAAAATATAGTATCATACTGGGAAATATTGAAGTTACACAGGATAACAATGAGTCAAATACACAAAAGGCACATAAAATAAAATTTACAACTTCGCTAATATGTATTAAAATTAATTGTTATTAAACCCAATTACCATCTCATCCTTCCCTTAATCTTACCCTTTGACCCAATTATGCAGCTAACTTCGGTCGGGGAGGCCCACGATGAATTGGACTTTGAGATATTGGGGAACGAAGAATCGAGGCCCATCAGACTAAACACCAACATATTCATAGACGGCTACGGAAACAGGGAGAAGACGGTTCATCTCAGCTGGTTTGACCCCACGGCTGACTTTCACAATTACACTCTCCTCTGGAACCACCGCCAGATCGTGTAAGCCGGCCGGCCGCCAAGTTCGTCGAATCCTCATTACAGAAAATAATATCCTTCTTTTTAAGTTTTTTTTCCCCGTGTATTTGTGCAGATTTTTCGTGGATGAGGTTCCTGTAAGGGTGATGAGGAAGGTCGACGGGAAATCGTACCCTGCGACGAGGCCAATGTGGTTACAGGCCAGCCTGTGGAATGGAGAGCCCTGGGCCATGGACACTGACCAGAAGAAAATCAACTGGGCCTACGGGCCGTTCCGGGCCTACTTCAAGGATTTTAAGGTCGACGGTTGTCCCGTGGACGGCGAAGGTTCCGATTTGGCGTCGTGTTCTTCGCCGGAGTATTGGTGGAACGCCGAGAGATATTGGAAACTCGACGAGGCACAGCAGATGGCGTACGAGCATGTCCTCGAGCATTACCAAACTGCTGACTACTGCATCGACAGGCCCCACCCTCCAGAATGCGGCCTCTAATTATAGTATATAGGGATCACATATTTATATCCAAAAGTGGACATGGTCTAACATATCGCGTTATATCGAGTAGTTGGATCATAGTCATATAAATGAGTGCATGTGCAATAACACAAACTATGAAAAATCCGTGAATCCACATATCGTTTCTGCTCCAAGTTTCACCTCTACGAGGCTTCACTTGCGGGGGCGTGATAAGGAGAAAAGGCTAAACTAACCACTTGGCCCCAATAACTCGAGTTGTTGGGAGAGGTTCAATCGTGGATCATATACCACAACACTAACAGCATGAACAATGCGACCCGCATTTGCCCGGACTGCTGGCGGAGGTCCCGGGGTTTGGCCCGACTACGGCATCACCAAAGGTGGTGACCGTGGAGGGTGTTCCTCGTCATAAAAAAAAAAAAAATTATGGTGACCGAGTAAAACTAGAGTACGCAACGATTTACGATATTCGTTCCCCAAGAGTGTTGTTCCCATTACTAAGGGAGTGTTTAGTCATGGGACTAAGTCTTAGCACTGACGTTAAATTATTTAATTCCTATAAGATCTAATGTTGAACAAAAGCTAGAGAAGGGTGTTCAATGACAATTTGTACTAAGGCAATTTCGCTATTAGAAGAAATTCATTAGAGTTCTATTTTCGTTTCCCCCTCAATTTGCCACTTTCCCTTCTCTCTTGTACCCATGCTTCTCCGCAAGAAATTATCGATGATATATAATAACGTTATCAACATTTTGAAAGAAATTATTAATGACAGGCAATTTTGCCATTAACATTAGTGAAAGGAATCATTAATAGTACTGTACAATAAAATTAGTAACATTTTAAGAAGAATTAACAATAATATGCAAGAACATCATCAGTACGTAATTGTTGTGAAAGAAATTATTAATAACATTATTACTTTGTTTTAATGAGGATTCGGTACCAATTATGAAAAGTGAAAGAGTCAACATTTTTAATTTTATTAAATATTGAATAATAATATCTTAATTGCCCTTTTGACAGTTGAATCCATCCTATTCTTTCTTTTCTCTTGTGTTTCCGTATTATAAGTTACCTCCCTAGCTAGATAGCTAGCTAGCTACGTCGTGCCTGCCTTGATGTTCTTGGTAACTAAATTTTGATACGTAATGACATTTATTTATTATTACAACTTAATAATAGTAATTCTTTGTATATATGATAACAAGTTAACACTTGCGGAATTGAAAGAACCCCGCAGAAACTAAAATGAAAGAGCATCTAGAGAAGCCATTTACTGAAATGACTAAAGACGGAAGAGACCAAACAACCAAGGGCATTCAGCCACAAAGTTAGTTCGCACATCATTTACAATGATTGATTGTTATATAAATTAGCAAAAAAAAAAAAAAAAGGCAATACTATTATATAAGTTCATCCCCATCCAAGGCAGCTGATTCCTTCCGTTTAATTCTAAGTCGCCGAAGGATGGCTGGGGAGGTTGATCACAACAATGGTGGGGATGGCGTGATCGGCAAGAAGACAAGGAGTTTTTTGTCCCTCGGCGGCGGATCCCGCCATTTCCCCCTCCGAGTGGGGGGCATGGAAATCTCAGCCTCCGCCGCCGCCGCGCTCGGAATGGGATTCTTCTGCCTTCTGCTCTGGGTTATGGTGATCTACCCTTCCCCGAGTTCGCCTGCTGGGTCCCCACCGTCGGCAGGTTCCTTCTCCCCAGTGACTTCTCCAAATCCAGTGAGTTATTACTTATATATATATATATAGATGTTATAGGAATACAATAGATTTTTTTATTTAATATTTGGTCAACAAATCGGTGTTTAATAATTATTGATACTCCAAATTCTATATATTGATTAAGTTAAAACTGAATTCCGCGTCTAAAACCATAAAGAAAATTCATTATATTAAGAATTAAGAAGATGTTGAGGTAAATTAAGGCACCTCCTGCTTTCTAATATGTGGATTATATTAATACTTGTGACGACCGCAAAATTTCTATTGTTACATACCAACTGCTCAACAAGCCACTTCGAATGAAGTGTTGACAAAGTAAAGAAAGTTGCTAACCATATATCAGTAGAGATGAATGTTGATTACGTATGTGGATTTCAATTCGTTAGTAAAATTATCAAATCTTCCATTACTTTATCAAGCAATGGTAGAGAAATCTGACTCTTTTGTGAATTCTATTTAGTAATTTTCGTAATTTGCATTGTAACATAGTAAGTAGTAACCAATAATAATAATCTACAGGTATTTATTATTTTCCACCTTTATTAATATTTTCCACATTATATATTCATGCACTTTTGTTCATAAAAAAGAAAATTATGGGCCACACTCGTTTGTTACGTAGCATCATGATCTCACATTATTAATTTTGCCTGACGTATGACATAGTTGGAACTTTACATAACAAAACCTGTACTATCAAAATATTTCATTTCAGTCCTTTCTCTATTCCAATATACAGGAGGAGGACACAAAAACGCAGCAGCACGACATTAGCGAGGACCCCGAACTGATCAAAGTAGTGCAAAATGCCAAGATGACGACGACGGCCGTCGGGAAAGGAACCCTGCCGCCGTCGGAGATGGTGATCATCACCACCATCAACGAGGCGTGGGCCGAGCCAGGTTCGATCCTGGACCTGTTTCTGGAGAGCTTCTGGAGCGGGGACGGGACCCAAGAACTGGTGAGGCATCTGGTAATCGTGTCACTGGACCAAAAAGCCCACCAATACTGCCAAGCCGTACATCCACACTGTTACGCACTCACAACGCCCGGAGTCAGTTTCACGGGGACCCCCGCTACGTTCAAGAGCGACGAGTTCATGCTCATGGTCTGGCGCAGAATGGAGTTCTACACCTCCGTTTTAAAATTGGGGATTGACTTCGTTTTCACGGTAAGGAAAAAAAAACCCCACCGTTTTGCTACGATATCTAATATCCAGGCCTGTCATCCTACAAAAATTTAGTTTAGATAATATTTTGAATGACTCTAATTATATTTAAAAAACCTAGTTATCATAATATTAAAAAAGCAGTTTCCTTTTATCATTTTGATAATTGAACACTTTTTGGAATAATAGACTAAAAAACTCCAATTCCTTCGAGTGCTAAATCCTGGTTTCGCCCCTGCTAGCCCAGTTTAAGAGATGCTAATTACTTTTTTGTTGTAGGATGTGGACATAGTGTGGTTCCGGAACCCGTTCCCGCACTTCCACGAAGACGCCGACTTCCAGATCGCCTGCGACATCTACACCGGCGACGACTCGGAGCTCCACTACAACAGCATGAACGGCGGGTTCGGGTTCGTCCGGTCCAACGACCGAGCCCGTCGGTTCTTCCAGCACTGGCACGACTCCAGGGAGAGGTTCCCGGGGATGCACGAGCAGGACGTGCTGAACAAGATCAAGGACGAGCCTTTCATCGACGAGATCGGGCTGCGGGTCAAGGTCCTCGACACGGATCACTTCGGCGGGATCTGCCAGCCGATCAAGGACCTCAACGTCGGCTGCACCATGCACGCCACGTGCTGCATCGGCATGGAGTCCAAGATTCGAGCGCTCACGGCGGTTCTTCAGGATTGGAAGCACTTCTCTTCTTCGCCTCCGGAGTCTAGGAACTCGACGTCGTTTGTTTGGAAACCGGAACGCACCGGCTGCTGGATGTGAGATTTCAAATTATGTTTTCGTTTCTGTGTGTTTTGTGTATTTTTGTGAAGCCTGAATTCTGCCTGTGATGAAATGCAAAGTATAAGCATGCAGGCAAGCTTTCAGAAGCTGTAACCATGAATATAATTCAGTTTGATAATATATGTATGTAAGCTCAAAATAGTATTAATTGGGAAGATATATGTAACAAACACTTTTTGTAAATATCATAAAGTTATATAGTTATATTTTCTTATGTTGAAATAAAATGTCGAAATATTTATGTACCAACACTCTTTGTAAATGTCGCAAGATTCTATGGTCACGTTTTTCATATATATAGAAATATAAATGTCGAATAATGTAGGTGCTGACACTTTCTGTAAATGTCATAGTAACTTTATGCGACTAAATACAAAATGACATTTCAATGAAATTAACCTTCATTTTTCATAATTATTGATGCAAAACTTCACCGACATTTTGACATCTTTAAAAGACGTTTGAAAAGATAGCCAAATGCATTTGTTTTTGTAGCGTGTATCACTCGCAAGTGTGGTACTTAAGAAAAATGACCAATAACTTTTTATTTAAGAAAAAAAGATTTACGTTTTGGACACTCTTATTAGAGAGTCACGTAGTTGTTTGGATGTCATTATACTATAATGTTCTTATAATCATATTTATTAGTTTGAGTAAAAGTGTTTGCTAAATCATATCATATGAGTTGGTCATCGGAAAAATTACCCACCTTAATCCAAGTTGATAGGCGATTTAACAGGTTTGAAATGATTGAACCAAGATTTCAGTACAATATAAAATATCTCTGACTTTATATAACCTCCGATACAGGAGACAAGAACGACATTGATGTGATTAAGGCGTTGGACACCAAATCTTCTGTCGAGTTGTGAGTCCAGTGGCGGACCCATAAATTTTAGATATGGGTGTCCTCTTTCAAAAAATATATTAAATTAAAATTAAATAATTTATAAAAATTAAATAAGAAAATATCTGACTCGTAGAAGTTGAAAAAATCCACGATGTGTTTTCATATTCGGAAATAATTGTTGAATACATTTGGTCTCTACAGTGCTCAAAACAATTGTCTCTGTATATCCTACTAGACAATTATTCACGAACTGATCGCATATTCAATTTCTAAACTTGTTTTTTATGTAACCCAAAAAGCTGAAAAGGCTCTTTCAACACTAGTCATACAACCGTAAATTCCGTACAAATTATGGGTAGCTAGAAATTAGTTTAATTGTTAGGTTTTGAAAATAATTATAGATAGAGAATGCCATTTTACTATTACGAAGTGTTTAAATTCGAACAACAAACGAGTTGTAGCCTAATGAAAAGTATGTTTATTAATAATAATATTGTCCTAAGTTTGAATTATCCAAACTACCATTTATATAGTTATATTCACATACGCAAACTAAAAATAAAAGTAGGATAATAATTTTTTCAAAATTTCAAAGGTGTCTTCCACTATCGATTATAATTTTTTGTCCATACATTAATTACCACAGGAGTTAGATAATCGTTTTCCCAACATTTCGGATATCGCGAAACACCCGGAACCCCCTGGGTCCGCCGCTGCGTTTGCCATTCTTTCATGTTGGAGCTGGTGCAGACTGCAGTCCCTCTAGACACGGAGCCAGGTAACTTCAGTGATTGGGAAACCGTATTTTCTAAAGTATGCAGGCCATGATCACGGAACTTCGGCTTCATGAGTTAGAGCCGTCTAATTAACCTCATTAGTTCACCGTAATTGACTGATTGATAAGCGCAGAGGAGTATCACTCGCAAGTGTGCATAAATCATTATCATACTGAACTGGGTTGGTTAAAACTTACAACTTCAGATGTGATGCACAACCTGTTCCAACATCTTATTCGAAGTTTCTACTCTATTACAAACGGGAACAGAGGAAGGGTAACCCAAAAGCCGACCTGCAAACTACAATCAACTCAACAAAATGGATCCAACAAGGGCAGTAGCTGCTATGGCAGTCGCTTCTCTTCTGCTCATCATCATCGGCTCCCGACGAACCCCGAGAAGCTGCAGGAATTTCCCTCTTGAACGGTCATGCCCATCTTCAGAACAAACCTGCGTCAGCAGGGAGAAATTACAGAGCTTTTCGTCGCGAAACTCAAATCACCACATATCTCCACCATCTCCTTACCTCCTATCCCGGCTCCTAGAGTACGAGCAGCATCACAAGCGCTGCGATCCCCTCTCGAAACCCTTCGATCGGACCTCTCAGGAACTCGTCAGGGTAAAGAATTCCCCTGACTCGCTCGTCAGGAAAAATGAAGACTTAGCACAGGATTGCAGATACATCGTGTTCACTCCGGGTAATGATGAATTGGCGACCACAATGCTCAGCTTGTCCTCTTCATTTCTCTACGCCCTCCTCACCGATCGGGTCCTTCTCGTCGATTTCGACCCCTCCATGATAGGTCTGTTCTGCGAGCCGTTTCGCAAATCGACCTGGCTCCTCCCTGGAGAGTTCACTTTTAGGGACAGAGCCAGGAGTGCAGAGTTCAGGCAAGTTTTCAGCCTAGGCCACTTAATGAGGAAACAGAACCAGAAACAGGATCAGAAGCTGCAAGCAGATACCGCATCACTCCTCTTTCTTTACCTGTCGATGGACTACGACGATCACGACAAGCTTTTCTACAGAGACGAGACTCAGGAACTCCTGAAGAATGTCCCCTGGCTCGTCCTGAGATCGGAGCAATACTTTCTCCCTTACTTCTTCTTATTGCCCTGTTTCAGGACGGAACTGGACAAATTGTTCCCCGATGACAAGGAGACTGTTTTCCACCACTTAGGGAGATACCTCTTCAACCCATCGAATCAAGCCTGGGGCGCCATCGCCAGATTCTACGACGATTACTTGGTGAAAGCAGAGCAGAGGGTCGGGCTCGAGATCAAAGTTGGAAACCCTTATGAAACCCCACCTTACCTTATGCTACCGCACATTCTGAAATGCATTCAGGAGGAATCCAAAATACTGCCACGATTACAGCAAAATAACACCACTACCAGAATAACGATACTTCCTTCATTCCGAAGAAAGACATCAAAAGTAATTTTGGTGGAGTCGTTGTTGCCGGAGTTTTACTCAGAACTGAAGAACATGTACTCGACGAGGCCGATTGCTGATGGGGAGGGATCGGTATCGGTCAGGGTTTATCGGACTAGTAGTCATGAAGGGATGCAAAAATCTGACAGAAATTACCACAATATGAAGGCGTTGGTGGATGTATATCTTCTGAGCATGTGTGATGTTTTGGTTATCAGCCCATTTTCGACTTTTGGGTATGTGGCTTCTGGTCTTGCAGGGTTGAATCCATGGTTTTTGAAGAATCCAGGGGATTATGAGACGAAGCCTTTGGAACCAGCTTGCCGCCGAGCGGTTTCTCCGGAGCCATGTTTTCTATTTCATCCTGGGGAATATGTCCCCAATGCGGTTCATCATTGCCGAGGAAGATTAGGGCCTGTTCCGGTAATTCTGTACTGTGAAGATTTTGTATTTGGATTCAAGCTTGGAAATCTGAAGTGTTAAAAAAAAGAACAATGTGGCAAAGAGCAGAGAGGGTTGTTCTCTTCTTAATTTTCTTGTATGGTTATTAGCAAAAGCCTGCTCACTTTCGCTTCGCGTATTAGAAAAATAAATATTTTAAAAATTAATAGTTTTAATGTTGACCTAAAAGTGAAAGTAATCTTATTTCATTCTTAATCATTCATTTTATAGGTTTGTTATTTACAATAGCATATGGTCGATGAACTTGCATACGGTAGAAGGGCCATTGAATAGATTATTCATGTTTAAACTTGTTTCATGAGCTTCAATTTGTATGGCTAATAATTGATCATGCTGTAACTTTTGCAGAATGAAGCAGTTTTTCCGGATCTTTTCAAGAAGTATTTAAAAAAAACTGTTAACTGTTTAACTGAAAAACTATCAGAATTACTTTCTAATATAAGAGGTAATGAAAAATGATTAAAAAAGATTTCTAACATAAAATATGAATACAAATTCTAAAAATAAAAAGTATTTAAAATTGATCACGTTAGATTTATTTCATATTAAATAATATTATTTTCCAATTTTTTTATAGTGATATAAATTAAATAAAATTATGTTTTCTAGAAAAAGAATAATATATGGTAAGGAAAATTTTGTATTTTCAAATCGGAGCTTCTGCTTTAAGTTACGAAAAACTTCATTTTTAAAAAGCGAAACTTTAGAGGTGTTTGGCTTGGCTTCAACTATTGAAACATAAAATTTCTACAATTCGGGCCAAACAAGTGGTACTCTTTTGGCTTTTTATTGGGTTTGAGGTAATCGTGGTTCTCCTTTATGAATTTTTTGGACTGATTGCAGGTTGAGGAGGTTCAACTCGCATTGATCGGGTCAAATTAGCTTGGATCCCCATGGATTTAAGTTCAATTGTCTTTCTCAAACAAAAGGGAAAAAAATGAAAAACACTAAAGTTAAAACTCGCTACAAACTCAAAACTCGTTAACACCAAGTTCAACTCGCTTTGACCTGATTGGACCAAGTTTTGGACAAATTCACACCTGACACAACACGCCAATTACAAAAACTGATAAACCTTGCTCCCGCCAAAAAACCTGTAAAATCGGGTTCGAGTCGCTTTGGTCGGGACGAATTAGGTTGTATAGCCATGCGTTTGAAATCAATTGTCATTCTCAACGAAAAGAAAAACGATAAAAAATACTAAAGCGGATAAACCTCGCTCATGACCCCAAACTCTCGACACTGCATTCAACTCTCTTTTACCTAACATGTCAATTACAAAAGCAGATAAAACTCGCCCTTGATACGAAATGCGTCAACAATGGGTCAGAGTTCAATTGTCATTCTCAACGAAAAAGAAAATGAGAAATAAAAAAACACGAAATCAAACAAAACTCGTTTTCGATCTAAAACTGGTCAACAATATGTTCAACTCGCTTTGAACAATTTTTTAACAAATTAACATTTGGTCCAACCTGCCAACTACAAAAGCGGACGAAGCTCGCTCACAATATAACACTCGTCAAAACCTTAGATTCGGGTTCAATTTGTCTTCCCAACCAAAAGAAGAAAAAAAGAGAAATTTATAAATGCTAAAGTATGTTTCAAGTCACTTTGACCGTATCGAATTAGGTTGGATACCCATAGATTCGGGTTCAATTGTGATCATGCTCAACAAAAAGGAAAAAGTGAAAGAAAAAAACACTAAAGCAAACGAAACTCGGTTCCGATACAAAACTCGCCAACATTGAGTAGATATGGTATGGATTTTCGGTAGCGGCATTGGGTTCATTTGTGATCGTACTCAACAAAAAGGAAAAAGAGAAAAAAAATACTAAAGATGATGAAACTCGGTCCCGATGCAAAACTCATGGTAGCGGCCTTGGGAAACGATGGCGGGGAGCAACTTAGGATTCCGCCGACAATATTTTGAGATGGGCTGCAAAATGGTAGAAAGAGGAGATGATTTATGTTCAAGTTAGGATACCCATGTGTTTGAGTTCAATTGTGATCATTTTCAACAAAAAGGAAAAAAAATACTAAAGAGGATGAAACTCGGTCCAGATACAAAACTCGTGGTAGCGGCCTTGGGAAAAGGTGGTGGGGAACAACTAAGGATTCCGTCGACAGTATTTCAAGATGAACTGCAAAATGATGGGCAAAGACGATGATTTATGTTCAAGGTAGGATACCCATGTGTTTGGGTTACTCAACAAAAAGGAAGAAAAGAAATAAGGAAAAAAACACTAAAGAGGATGAAACTCGGTACCGATAAAAAACTCATGGTAGCGGCCTTGGAAAACAGTGGTGGGTAACAAATTAGGATCCCGCCGACAATATTTCGAGATAGGCTGCAAAATGATGAGCAAATGCGATGATTTGTGCAAAAAGTCAAAGACGAAAACCTAGCGAGCAATAACAAAACATTGAAGCGATAACACAAAGGCGATTATTTGTGCAAAAAGCCGTAGACGAAAATCTAGCGAACAATAACTAAACACAAAGGTTGTAGAATGGAGAGTGGGGTAAAAGAAGGACTTGGAACTTCCCCACTTTCATTTGGAGGAGTGTGAAAGCCGCTAATGAATAGTAACTCCCATGTTAGGCTTTTATATATTAAATTTGGGTTACTCAACAAAAAGAAAGAAAAAAAACACTAAAGAGGATGAAACTCGGTACCGATAAAAAACTCGTGCTAGCGGCCTTGGAAAACAGTGGTGGGGAACAACTTAGGATCCCGCCGACAATATTTCGAGATGGGCTGCAAAATGTTGGGCAAAGGCGATGATTTGTGCAAAAAATTATAGACGAAAACCTAGCGAGCAATAACTAAACACAGAAGCGATAACACAAATGCGATTATTTGTGAAAAAAGCCATAGACGAAAACCTAGCGAACAATAACTAAATACAAAGGTTGTAGAATGGAGAGTGGAGTAAAAGAAGGATTTGGAACTTCCCCACTTGCATGTGGAGGAGTGTGAAAGCCACTAATGAATAATAACTCTCATGTTAGGCTTTTATATATTAATTAATTAATTAATTAATGTGCTGATGGAGTTAGTGGAGTTTATGCATTTTCCCCCCTTAATATTGCAAGAAAAAAATACAGCTCGTTGTGCCTTGTAATGTGTTCTCATATTTAATATTTTTGAAAAACTTGTAAGATACATTCGTACGATATCAATTTCAATATATCTTATGAAATAACCATTCATAATTTTGTCTCTTATTAAATAACGAAGAGTGTTTTTCATGTGGCTCATTGCCAATATCCTTTTAACACTTACAATGAAGACTTATGTAGCTCTCTCAGAATCTCCATAGGAGTAGGAGTAACTTAATGTAGATCTGTCTTGAGAGTCGTGTAAACATCGAACACCCCTGTTCGAATTGTGTTTGAAGAGGTGTGAACGTGTTTAGTGATCATTGTCCAAAGAAGTCAATGTGCATTCAATTCTCATTCAACCCAAGTTTTCTCGTCGGAAAACAGACGGCAATGGGGTTTGCAAGCCTGCAAACGTCACCCAAGTGAGGGTACGTAGCAAATGGAAGGTATTGCTTTGCTTTTGGTTATACGTTATACTAGTTACTAACAGGGTAGAACTCGGTATATACCGACAACAAATTTTTTACTAATGCATAGTGATAGCGCCAGTTTACGGTATAACCGATAACCGTAGGTTACCGGTACGATTACTGGTTATACCGTTGACAGGCAAACTAAATACCACCCCTATATGTGAGTGAAGAAAACAAACCACACAAAGGTTGTCCACTTGCATTTGGGGGAGTTTAGAGGTTACTAGTGAATAATAACTTTTATCTCTGAATTTTATATATTAAAGTTTCCTTTTAAGAAAAATTATAAAATCAAAATAAAAAATTAACTTTGACAATCGAAATCAAACTACAATAAAATAAAATTGTAGTCTAATCAATCTAGTGCAACTCATTTAGATCTTCCACATTAGCTACTGTAGGGCGCGTAACAATTATTTATTTATTTAATTATTAATTAATATTTAATAGCCTAAAATTGGAGTTATTATTCATTAGTGACTCCTAAACTTCTTCAAGTGCAAGTGAGGAAGTTTCGAGTCTTCTTTTATTCCACTCTCTTATTCTATAACTTATGGGGTGTGACTATGGTGACATGCACTTTCCGGTCGACCTCAGTTAGGATTTGTTCAACCTCATATAGGATCTGGTCGACCTCATTTAGGATTCGGTCGACCTCATATAAGATCAGGTCGACCTAATCTGTTGTTTCAGTGTAAAAACAGTTCATGGTGCCTACTTTGGATATTCATATCATACAAATTGGCTAGATGGAAATTGAAGACTAATGACTTGTTTTGAAGCTGGAGTGTCCCTCTACATATTGAAGTGATTGAGAGCTCGATAGGAAGTCCAGAAGACTATTTTTGGACCTCATCAAAAGGCTATGCCAAAACTAGGAAACTGTCTGGAAATGGCTAAGTCTAGAAACGTGTTTGTGAAGCCTATTTTGGAGCTCAATTCGAGAAGCATGAATGCGAGTCGAGTCCAGGAGCCTCTACCACGTTAAATTAGGTATGTTCTTATACAAATTCAAGGCATTGGATGAAAGATTGGATATCTTTACGGCTTCAAACAAAAGGCTCGAAGTTGCTACGAAGGTTGTTTTTTTTTTCTGGCAGACTTCGAGCACAAGCAAGTTGCCAGAAAAACAGCCTTCGTAGCAACTTCGAGCCTTTTGTTTGAATCCTTAAAGATATTCAATCTTTCATCAAATGCCTTGCCTTTGTATACAAAAATACGCAATTTAACGTGGTAAAGGCCCCTGGACTTGACTCGCATCCATGCTTCTCAAATTGAGCTCCAAAGTAGGCTTGACAAACACGTTGTCAGACTTAGCCATTTTCAGGCAGTTTCCCAGTTTTGGCATAGCCTTTTGGTCAGGTTCAAAAATGGTCTTCTGGACTTTCTATTGAGCTCCCAAGTACTTTAATGTGTAGAGGGACACTTCAGCTTCAAAACAAGCCTTTAATCTCCAATTTCCATTTAGCCAATTGTAAGATATGAATCTCCAAAGTAGACACCATGAAACTGTTTTTACACTGAAACAACAGATTAGGTCGACCGAAAAGTGCATGTCACCGTGATGCATATCACCGTAACAAAGTCCTAACTTATGTGTTCATCTATTGTCCGTCGGGTTTACATCTGTTGCCCATTAGGTTTCCCCAGGGGCGAACCTAAGAAGGGGCAGGGTGTGTCGTCCGACACACCCTCGCCCGAAAATTTTGTGAATGGGCTATATATTTTTGGTAATTTTTTTTTTAATTTTGGGACTTGAGACACACCTCAATTAACTGTGAGCCACACACCTTACCTCTTTTTAGTTTCTACCCCTTGACCCCATCCTTTAAAACTCACTGTTTCCACCCCTTGACCCTTCCTCTGTTGAAAATAAAAAATAAAATAAAAACTCATCCTTACCTCTTTTTAGTTTCTAATTACCGAGATCAATTGTCACATCCCTTTCTTTTATCTTTTAGTTTACTTGCTCTTAAAGTTGGTATTGACTTTACTAGTTGCAATTGCAAGACGCGAAAGAGCATTTTCAACTATGAAGATAATCAAGAATGAACTTCGAAATTGGTTGAGTGACCAATTTATGAATGATTGTTTAGTTGTGTATATCAAAAAGGATTTTTTCGCAACATAAGCGATGAATGTATTTTACAGACATTTCAGGTCATGAAAAGTCGTCCTGGTTCGTTGTAAAGATGACATTATGAACTTTATGAATTCTAGTAATTTCTATTTAGTTTTTTTATTTTTGTAATTATTATTTTATTTCATCAGCGACACACCTCTTCGGCAATTCTGCGTCCGCCACTGGGTTTCTCATAATAGTTATTGTCTACTAAGTTTTCACTATTGTCCGTCGGGTCTACATCTATTTGCCATTAGGTTTCCCATAATAGTTATTGTCTACTAAGTTTTCATTTATTGTTCATTGCTTTCCCTATTGCAACAATTATCCATTAGGTTTATGATCTTTTTCCCAAATCATCACACTCGCCCACTAATTCACAACTCATCTCGAAACATTATCGATTAAATTATAAGTTGTCCTCTTCTGAAGGTCCATACCATATCTATTTTGCACAATCCTCTCATTCGCCCAATAATGTACAACCCTTCTTCAAATACTCTCGGAGGAATCTTAAGTTATACTCATCCACCGTATCCCAAGACCGCTACCGAAAATCCATAACAAATATGCTTTGTGTTGTCGAATTTTGTATCGGGACCGAGTTTCATATTGTTTAATGTTTTCTTATCTCTCTTTTTCCTTTTGGTTAAGCATGACAATTGAACTCAAACTCACGGGTATCCAACATATTCGCCCAGGTCAAAGCGACTTTGAACCCAATTTTATATTTTTAAATTTCTATTTTCTCCTTTCGTTGTAAATGTCAATTGAACTCAAACCATGGTATGACGAGTTTTGTATCGAGAGCGAGTTTTATCTGCTTTTGTAGTTGGTAGGTTGGGTCGAGTGTAAATTTGTTAAAAACTCGATTCGACCCGGTCAAAGCGAACTAAACACGGTGTTGATGAGTTTTTGACCGAGCGAGTTTTGTCCGCTTTAATATTTTTTTATTTCTCCTTTTCCTTTTGGTTGAGAATGACAAATGAACTCGGACCCTGTGCTGACAAGTTTTGTATGGAGAGCGAGTTTTATCTTATTTTAGAATTGACATGTTGAGTCGAGTTTGAATTGTTAAATACTCGGTTCGAACCAGCTAATGTGAATTGAACACGGTGTGTAGAGTTTTTGGTAGGGAGCGAGTTTATCAGCTTTAGTGCTTTTTGATTTATTATTTTTCTTTTGGTTGAGAACCTAAACATATGGGTATCCAACCTAATTCAACCTAATTGAACCCGGTGCTTACAAGTTATCGGGCAAGAGTGAGTTTTATTAGCTTTTGAAATTGACGGGTCGGGTCGGTTGTGAATTTGTTAAAAATTACTCGGTTCAACCTGATCAAACAGAGTTGAACTTGATGTTTTCGAATTTTGGGTCGTGAGCGAGCTTTATCCACTTTAGAGTTTGTTAATTTCTCTTTTTATTTTTCATTGAGAATGAAATTGAACCAAAACCAATGGTTCAACCTAATTCGACCAGGCCAAAGTGAGTTGAACTTCCTCAAACCTGCAATTAGTCTCGGAAATCCATAAAAAGGAGAATCAAGATATACTTAAAAAAACAAAGCAAAAAGAATAAAAAATAAAGAAGATTAAACATAGAAATCATTTGTTCGATTACCCTTCTCACTTATTAAAGTTTATCGGCTGCGTCAATTACATAAAATTATAGTTGACAAACTCTTTACTTTTGGGTCAAAATTCAAACTATCAATTTTTAAAATATCATGTTCTCCTCATCTATTATTACTAGCGACACTCTTGATGATTATCATATACCACCCACCTACAAGAGCGCTTCACTATCATATTGAATTGAGTTGGTTAAAACTTGCAACTTCAGATTGATGCACAACCTTCTAGCTCCCATTGAGAGCTCTTCATTTAATCCGTAAGAACTTTACCCAGCAAATTAATCAACCAAACTGATGATAGATCAGAAAATAACATTTAATTATGCACTTCATTTAGCAAGCAACCCGCACTAATGGCAACAGCAAGAACAACAATTTATTATGTGGCGGATCCAGAAATTTTTTGTAGGGGTGTCCCCTTTCAAAAATGTAATTAAATTAATAATTAAATTAAATAATACATAAATAATAAAATATACAATTAGTATAAATGTTGACAAAAAGCCACGATGTGTTTTCATATTTCAAAAAAAATATAAGATAGATTTGGTGTGTACACTGCTCAACAAATCGGTATATCCTACTAGATTGCATATTCAATTTCTAACCTTGTACATGATGTAATTCAATGTTAAAAAGACTATTTCAACACTTGCAGTGTAACCATAAAATCAATTCAAATTAGGGTACCCCTGGGGATAAGAAATCGCGTTTTCACCATTACATAGTGTTTAAAATAGAACAACAAATGAGTTATAACCTAATGGAGAAGATGTTAAATAATAGGAGTGTCCTAGATTTGAATAACACAGAGTACCATTTATATTTTTTAATCACACAAACTACTATCGAGAGTAAGATAATCATTTATTAAAATTTTAGGGGTGTCCCAGATTACTAATTATATTTTGTTTATCCATACGAAACTACTACCGGGGGTTGAATAATCGTGTTCCCAAAATTTAGGGGTGTCCCGGGACACCCCTAAAGCACCATGTATCCGCCACTTTTATACAACGCTCAACTTCAACAGGGGAACCCAATAGGGTTATCAAACAGAAACAGCTCAAACGACACTGATTAAAGCGCCCAAAAAATGGAGAACTTGAGCTATGCCTGCAATCCAAGAGTAGTAGCATCCATTATGGTTTCTTCTCTTCTTCTTCTCATCACCGCCTCCCGACATCATCGCCAGCTCGAACGTGCCATGAATTCCCCTCTCGAACAGTCGTCTACCGTCATATTTTCAGAGCCATCCTGCCTCAGCAGGAGCCAGTTACATTTGATGAGGAGCTCTGCATCTTCACCTCCAAACTCAAATCATCAGAAACCTCCTCCACTGTCTCCTTACCTCCTTTCCAGGCTCCGAGACTACGAACATCGTCACAAGCGCTGCGATCCCCTCTCGGAGCCCTTCCAACGGGACTCTCGGGAGCTCGACAGGGTAAAGAATTCCCCCGACTCCCTTGTCAGGAAAAATGCAGACTCTGCATCCGATTGCAGATACATTGTCTTCACGCCGTTCGCAGGAATGGGGAACAGGATGCTAGCACTGTCCTCTGCATTTCTCTACGCTCTCCTCACCGATCGTGTCCTCCTCGTCGATTTCGACCCCTCGATGCGAGGTCTCTTCTGCGAGCCGTTTCACAACTCGACCTGGCTCCTTCCGCAAGAATTTACTTTCATGGACCGAGTCAAGAGTCGGGAGTTCAAGGAAGTTTTCAGCCTTGGCAACTTGTTGAAGAACCAGAACCAGAATCAGAACCAGAAGCTGGCGGATGTTACATCACTCCTCCAGCTTGATCTTTCGACCGAATACAACGATTACGACAAGCTCTTCTACAGAGACGAGACTCAGGAACTCGTGAAGAATGTCCCCTGGCTGGTCCTGAAATCAAACCAGTACTTTCTGCCTTACTTGTTCCTGTTGCCCTGCTTCAGGACAGAATTGGACCAACTGTTTCCTGACAAGGAGATTGTTTTCCACCACTTGGCCAGATACCTCTTCAACCCATCAAATCAAGCCTGGGGCCGCATCACCAGATTCTACGACGCTTACTTGGCGCGAGCAGAGCAGAGGATCGGGCTTCAGATTCGGGTCCTCGACCCCGAAAACTACCCACCTTCATTCATTTTGCCACACATATTGAGGTGCATTCAGGACGAATCTCGAATCCTGCCACGATTACAGCGAAATGAGGCAACCACATCGCGAATCGGGACATCGAAGGCAGTTTTCATCGCGTCATTGTTCACCGAGTTCTACTCGGAGCTGAAGGACATGTACTGGACGAGGCCGATCGCTGATGGGGAGGAAACAGCATCGGTTGCGGTTTATCGGGCGAGTCACGAGAGGAACCAAGAGTCTTATAGCAATTCACACAACATGAATGCGCTGGTGGATATATATCTTCTGAGCATGTGTGATTTTCTGGTTACCACACAGGTTTCCACTTTTGGGTATGTGGCTTTTGGTCTTGCAGGGGTGAGTCCCTGGTTTTTGAAGGATCCACGCGATTATGAGAGGAATCCTTCGGAACCAGCTTGCCACCGTGCGGTTTCGCCGGAGCCTTGTTTCCAGTTTCATCCGACTGATTATGACCCCATTGCGGCTCTTCATCGTGGGGCGGCGGGGCCTGCTCCGGTAATTATGTACTGTGAAGATGCTATATGGGGATTCAAGCTTGCAAATATGATGAGTTTTTGAATAGGTTAAAAGCTTGAAAGGTAAAAAAACATGTTGGCTTGTCCCTACAAGATCAAAGTAAAAAAAAAGGCACTTGGATTTAGTTTTACTTTGTGCACCAAGTTAGAACTAATTTCGACCGAAATTTTACAACGTAACTCCAACATAGACGTATCAAAGATTCATCCTCGCATACACGAAGTCAATTCATCGTATATGCAACCAGGACCAAACATAGGCTGCAATTGCATTTTCTTTAATTCAGAGCATACAAATTTTATGATAAAAAAATTGTCTTTGTTTCTCTGAAAGAAAGAGAACAATACATATTACTTGTCGTAATAAACGCCCTTCATACAAAATTCATCAAATCTCGATTCTATCGCAATTATTGAAATTAAAGTCTTCAACCGATGAATCTCTAAAGTCACCAATCCCCTTTGATGATCTGTTGATTCCCAAGTGAGTTTCTACTAAAAATCTTCTAAGCAATCTCCAAACTTCTCTTGTGAAATTGCACAAACCAAACAAGGGCAAGAGTTCTAGTATTAGAGCAGGCACATTGTTCTTGCATTTCCAATTGCAAGATAACATGACATGAGTTTTTACAATTGTAAACCTAATTGCATCACTGTAGCTACGCATTGCATATTTGCAAGTTTGCAACAAATGCAATTGTATATGTAAGTTAAAATGGACTAAAGAATATAAATTCTTTCCTTTCTTTGATTTTTTTTAATTTCCCTTTATTTTATTTTATCATAATTTAAACATAATATTTACCTATATTTACAATGACAAGTGGATTGAATTGATGTAGTGTAATGACATTAAGCCCTTGGAACCTCCAATTCTAAACGTCGTATTCTGAGTATACATGTATTCGCAATACTACATTTTTTGACTTGTTTTAATCACAAAATGCATGTATAGAGAATGCATGATGAATTCATAATACATGGAAAATGATGTATACTTAATCTCATATTTTTGGTGAGATTTAGTATCCATAGTTCATTTCATGTATAATTCATGCATTCTTTTATGTTTTCCAAACAAAACATTCTTAAAACCCACACATTCTTAGTATACACATAATTTTAATACACGCATTCTTGTAATACACTATTTCTAGAATTAAAGGTTCCAACTGTCCCCTAATATGAGTTGGATTGCAAATTTATTGAGGTAACAATAGAAACCTAATATGCAATTGGTATTATAATTGCATTGATATGTATGCTCTCGGGCAATCAGGTGACTAAGAGGGGTCCCTTAGTCACATGACTAAGGAAATCTCAGCCCTTCCACCTCATTAAAATTCAATGACGCACATTAATCCAATTTAATGGAGGACAATATAGTAATTACATAATTATTTAATTTATTATTTAAAACAATAAATAAAAATACATCAATTTGGCCGGCCGCTACCTTCCGACTTTCGCGGTCCCCCAGCCGGAAACTTTCCCCTCCGGCGTTGGTTTCTTTTCCGACGTATCCTTCTGGCCGGCGAAGAAGGGGATTTGGGCAAGCTCACATGGGAAATTTTCCTAGGTGAGAGAGAGAGAGAGAGTTGATTTTTCGGCGACGAGAATTTTCCCGTGGTGCTGACGGTGAAGATTTTCCAATAATGGGGATTTTTCGGCGGCATTGGTATCTTTGTGATGTTTGTCGGACTATTTTGCAATGTTTGTAAGTCTGTTTATAATGTTTATATCGATTCTGTTTGTATTGTTTATCATTCTAGTTTGTAATGTTTATATGACTATTTTGTATCTATTGTAATTTGTAACGTTTGTTTGTCTATTTTGTCTATTTTTATGTTATGATTTGTATACTTTGTATTCATTGGTTTGTAATACAAGTTTACCAATTTGTATTATAAGTAGTGGTATTATGTATGGTTAGTATGTTTTGTACTGTTTGTCGGTTTCTTTTGTAATGTTTGTAAGCTTTGTTATTTTTGTCCACCATGTTTGTTATTTTAGTCCACTATGTTTGTAATGTTTTTATGTCTAAAAATAACCTGGTTAACTTTTGGACGAAGTCCTCTATATAGAGATGGAGCCTCCAAAGTCAACCCAGTTGTTTTTTCCATTTTGTATGGTTTGTAGGTCTACTTTGTAATTTTTGTCCATAATTTTTGTAATGTTTGTATGTCTAAAAAACAATCGGGTTGACTTTGGGACGGTGCACCTCTATATAGGGTTGGAGCATCCAAAGTCAACCTAGTTGTTTTTCCATTTTTTATTGTTTGTATTGTTTGTCGGTCTACTTTGTATTGATTGTATAGTTCGTACATTTTATATTGTTTGTATGTTTTGTCGTTCTAGTTTGTACTGTTTGTAAGTTCGGTTTATATACTTCGTAATTTTGTATAATACCCAAACTACCCATGTCATTAATTACAAAGCCCTTCCCACTTTTTAACTGTCAGATTGGTGTGTCCAGATCTAAGGGCTGTGAGGGGCTTAGTTAGGTGACTAAGCACTCACCTTCCGCCCTCGTATGTTCTCATACAACTACTAGTGTCCTTATATTTTCAGCAATTGTATATTTTATTTTAAATCACAAACTTTGATTCATAATCGCTACTTAACCAAAATCTATTCCCCCATTTGTTTTGGTTAACTCTTATTTGTACGGGTTAAGATCATGTGACTATGGGGGACCCTTAGTCACATGACTAAGTCAATCTCAGCCATTGAACCTCATTTAAATCTAATGGCTCCAATTGATCTCTTTTAATGAAGGGTAGCAAAGTAATTACATATTTTTAATTATTTTCCAATTAAAAAATTAAAATAGGTGGGCCTACACCTGGCGTCGACGTCATCTTCCCCAATCTCCACCGATGCAGAGAGAAAGATCTTCCTCCCCTGCGCTTTTTAGTTTATTTTCCACAATCCCCACCGATGCAGAGTGGGAGGGAGGGAGGGAGGTAGAGAGAGAGAGAGATTTCGTCATCAACGAATTTTTCGGCTGCCGCGGAGAGAATTTTCTGGCGACAGTGTCTGTTTTGTTATGTTTGTCGGACGATTTTGTAATGTTTGTAAGTATGTTTGTGATTTTGTATTAATTCGGTAAGTATCGTTTATCATTCTAGTTTTTCATTTTTATCTATTATGTTTGTAATGCTTTGAACTTTGATGACTTATTTATATACATTGTAATTTGTAATGTTTGTTTGTCTAGTTTGTGTACTTTATGTTGTGATTTGTATACTTTGTATTCATTGATTTGTAATACAAGTTTACTGTTTTGTATTGTAAGTAATGGCATTTTGCACTGTTAGTATGTTTTATAATGTTTGTCGGTCTAGTTTGTATTGTTTGTATAATTCATATATTTCGTATTATTGTTTGTATGTTTTGTCGTTATAGTTTGTATGGTTTGTAATGTTTGTAAGTCCGGTTTGTATACTTCATAATTTTTCATAATACTCAAACTACCACTGTCATTAATTAAAAAGCCCTTCCCACTTTTTAACCGTCAGATTGGTGTGTCCAGATCTAAGGGATGGGAGGGGCTTAGTCAAGTGACTAAGCACCCCCCCTTAGCCACTAGATCCGCCCTCTTATTGACGGTAATTTGCCATAGCCATCTTCGATTTTTATAGCCAACTCATGGCGGAAGTGTGCACAAAACCCATCATATCTTGTGTTTAAATAATTTGTCGAATTGTACAGATTCAAACACACAATCACTTAATTATATAAGCTCTGATATCATATCATAAACCAATTATTTCTAATAACTCAACTTATTGAGGAAATTTATCTATATAACTATCCTCATCCTCAAATCCTCATCCTCAAAACAATATAAGGAGGTTCTTCTTAGGAACCCTTATAAACCACTTTTTCCTGCTCTCTGCGTGAAGCAAGGAAGAGTTTATTGACATTTTATTTTAGCCTGATAATAGCTTTAATTCTAGGCCCAAATCAATCAGCAAAAGACAACATATATAATTGCTACGGCCTAACAAATCCTAAATTTATTATTAGCAAATTGATTCTTGATTAAACCCTAAAACTAAAGTGCTGCTTTATATTTTTTTTGTTGTGTTTATCAAATTGATTCACACACCTAATATACAAAATGAATTAGACATAACTTACCCAAGATGACATCACACTAAAAGCCTACAATGATAACTTTTGTCATGCATATTCGATAGTAAGTATGGCCAATTCAATCCATTTATTTGACATTTGTTTTCCATCTATTTTTTATATATACAAGGCTTCAAAAGTGATATGACTAACTTACAATCTAAGAGAAACATATTAATAAGTTGCATTAAGCATACCAAAAATTTTCAGTAAATATACTAGCAAAAAGATCCAAGGAAAGCTTCCATATTGTAATTTTTTCCAATTTGCATTTTAATTCCAGGTATGATATACAATTCGGGTATAGATGACTGATTGTGAAGGTGGCTTTGTGGATAGGTCAAACATTTGAATCAATATAGTTTAATGTCTATTATAAGTTAGCCGTTTAAAAAAAATGTTATGACTAATTAATATTTTGAATCAATATAGTTTAATGTCTATTATAAGTTAGGAGTTTAAAAAAATGTTATGACTAATTAATATTCAAATGTTACCTTTTATGTAATATTTAGAACAATGTATTTATCCAATGTAAAGTTGTCAAAGTTAGGAATAGATAGTAATGTTATGACTAATTAATATTCAAATGTTACCTTTTATGTAATATTTAGAACAATGTATTTATCCAATGTAAAGTTGTCAAAGTTAGGAATAGATAGTAATGTGTTGGATGCGAAAACCTATCAACGAAAAGTCAAAGTAGACTCTGATAGGTACTTTTATAGGAATGGTACAACAATGTTAAATATAACAATAGGTATGTAACAATCTAACTCTACTCTTAATTCTTTTTAACTTCAAATTCATTGGTTCATTAAAAAAGAAGCTTTGTCCCCCTAAAACTTGAAATTTTGGACTAAATGGTGAATTTTAATTGTTGTTATTTTATAGATTCGATAT